CTATACAAGGCCATCGACGCCTACGAGGAGGACAAGGGCCCCGTCTACAACCACCGGGTGGAGATGGCCATCTTCTTCATCGTCTACATCATCCTCATCGCCTTCTTCATGATGAACATCTTCGTGGGCTTTGTCATCGTCACCTTCCAGGAGCAGGGCGAGACCGAGTACAAGAACTGCGAGCTGGACAAGAACCAGGTGCCCGGCCCGGCCCGGCCGGCGCGGCTCAGAGGCTGAGCATCGAACCATAAACCAGGAGTTCACGGTTACATTCCCGTCGGGCTCCTGTGGGCTCGACCCCCAGCAGGGGGCCTGCAGGAGGCAGCCGACCCATGATGCTCTCATCATTGATGCTTCTCTCTCTCCCTCTCCTTTTCTCTCTGGAGAGTCCTGGGCTGGGGTGACCCAGATCCTCCCCTTGCAGCCTCCATGCACCCACCCCGTCTCCCACCCAATGGGAAGCCATACAAGCTGATGGGTGGGGGTCTTCTCATGGGACCCTCGTGATGCCAGGAGGAAGGAAGCCCTTCAGAGCCCTGCTCTGGACAAGGGTCATGTTAACAAAGGCCCATGATGACCAAGGGGGAGCCCTCCAATCCTCAGGCCCTTCCCCTAAAGCAGGGGCGGGGAGCGTCCGGCCCACGGGCCGTATAAGGCCCGTGAAATCATTTGGTCTGGCCCTGCCGAGGCGTTAGGGGGGAGGTCATTAAATGTTTGACCAAATATATAGCAGGCCGATTTGTTTTTAAAATATATTTGTATTGATTTCAGAGATGAAGGGAGGGAGGGAGAGAGAGAGAGAGAAACATCAATGATGAGAGAGAGAATCATCGATCGGCTGTAGCGGGCTCATGTTTGAGTGGATCGCTTTGTATGGCCCGTGAATGATGCCATAAACCTCCAAATGGCCCCTGGCAGGAAAAAAGGTCCCCCACCCCTGCCCTGCAGGGTCCAGCAGAGACCCTCAGCCACAGGCCCTGACGTGCCAGAGGGGGTGTCCCCTCCCTCCGGCCGGTGGGTGTGGGCGCGGAGGGGGTGGGCACTCCAGGCTGACGGCCCTGTGTGTGTCTCAGCGCCAGTGTGTGCAGTATGCCCTGAAGGCCCGGCCCCTGAAGTGCTATATCCCCAAGAACCCGTACCAGTACCAGGTGTGGTACGTGGTCACCTCGTCCTACTTCGAGTACCTGATGTTCGCCCTCATCATGCTCAACACCATCTGCCTGGGCATGCAGGTGAGGCGCGGACGCAGGGCCTGAGGGGCCGGGGTGGGCCCGGGTGGGCCGGGGTCCAGGCTGGTCCCCCATCTCTCCTTCCCGGTGCCCCTCGGGATAGAGGCGTGAACTGGCCCAGTATCTATTAATATATTTTAAAAATATATTTTATTGATTTTTTTACAGAGAGGAAGGGAGAGGGATAGAGAGTTAGAAACA